TCATAATCAAAATAATAATTGTTTTACTTTTTTTAAATATTTCCGTATGTTTTCTAAGCAGCTTTTTACTTAGTATAAATAAGGGTTAGTTTTAATATATTTAAGCTAAAATTTAAAAACAAAAGCAAAATTTCATTTAAATATTTAACATTTTAACCTTTTTACTTGATTATTTCTTTAATTTTTTTGTGCACTTTTGTAAGCAACTTATTAACCTTTGTGCTTAATTTTTAATAATTTATAATAGATATGCTCATTTTTTGTTGTTAGATATATATATATATGTATATTAGAAACACTTAAGCTTAAAATCTGTGAGGGCGGGTTTACAAAGTGCGCAAGACAGAGAGAGAGAAGGGTGAGCAGGAGGACAACAAAGAAGCAGAGCTTAAGCGCCGCTGCTGCCAGGACACGCAGGATTCTTGACAGGCTGAAGCGGCGCTCGACTCGAGGAAGAACTGCTGCGGCTGTGGCTAGTGCTGCCGCTGCTGCTGCTGGCTACTGCCATCACATGCTGCTGCTGCTGCTGCTGCTCCTCGTCCTCATCCTCATTGTTATCCAGGTCCGGCTTGTGACTAGAGGCTGGCGGCGTTAACAGACTTTCGGGTGCTCGCAACGCCGTCGCCGGCGAGGCCTGAGTGCGAGCGCGCATTGCATGCAATGCATTCTGAGCCATCAACAATTCATCCTACAAAATAAACAAGATTTAATATTAGCATGCAGTTCACAATTATGTAGATAATCATTCATATATCATGTTTATTTTGATTGAATTTCCCAGATACTTACATACATATCCATTGTGGTTGTGTGCGTTTGTATTATGTGCGAATCGTCGGTCACAATGTTGGGGCAAATGTGCGCTACACCGAACTTATTTGTCACCTGCTCGTTCTGCTCATTCAGCTGCAGGTAAGGCGCTCGCTTCGATATGACATGGAAGAAGGGCTCCATCCAACGCGCGCACGGCTGAACCGCTTGCCAATCGAGGCCAGAGCTGCGCAAAGCCGTTTCACTAAAGAGGGAAAGCGAGAGAGAGTATGGAATTTAGTATATGAAACTAGATGGATGAAGACCTTAAAGAGATCTGATTGAAAATTCAATCATACTGTTAAAACTTACCGATTGAATGTATGACTCATGGCCGCTGCGGCCAATATTGAATATGGATAATTGGCCATGCCCACGTCGAGGGTGCACAGATCGAGCAGCTGTGAGGTTTGAACGAACTCATAGGCCGAAAACTGTGGATAGATGAAGGCATCATCGGAATCAGCTGCCGCTGCAGCTCCCGCTCTCGCCCCTGCTGCCTCCGCTCTCGCCTGCCTGCCGATCTGCGCAAAGGAAGCTGGCGTGCGATTGCTCACATTCAGCTGCATATAGACGCCCAGCCAGGCGGTTGCTGTGATGGGGCAAATGTCCCAGTTGATTGTCTGCAGCAGCAGCTTCTCGTGCTGCAATATGTCGCGCTCGGTGCAGGCGCCGTCCGTGACATAGGCGAATTCACTTATTTTGGGCGGATAGATTTCCTCAACCTTGGCAGCGACAAACAGACAGGTGATGCCGAATAGCTGCAGATGGGTCTTTTGCACCTGCCGTGCGACATGCAAATACCGATCCAGATAATCGACGGCCAGATAGAAGGTCTCACGGTGCAGCTTGTACACCTCGCACACCTCGATCAGCCAGTCGAGCAGGATGGCACGCATGCGTGGCTGCAGCCCGGGATGATGCTCCAGCATGCTGCTGCTGCGCAAATGTGAATCCTGCTCATCTCGCTGGCACATGCGTTTCCACACCTCCGACGCATTGGCCCAGGACAGCGCAGGCAATGGACACTGACGAGTCGGTATCTCAGCAGCGGGCGACAGACAATTGACGCTGGAAAAGGCATTCGAATCTTCGAGTGCATTTAATTTCCTCAATGCATCCTTGCGACTACTGCTGCTGCTCACATCGCTGGGATGCTGCGTCGTCGTCGGCAGCTGTTGTGTCGCTGGCGTCCGTTCGCCATTCAGACTGCAGCCGGTGGCCGTGGAGGAGGCGGGCGATGAGCTTGATGAATTGATTTGCTCAATTTCGTCATCATCATCCTCAACGTCTTCCTCGTCCTCTGGCTCCTCTGGCTCCTCGTCGTCGCTATCATCCAGCACCTCATTCAGAAGGGCAGCATATTCTGCCTCTACGCTTGCATAGCGCACTACCACCGGCTGCTGTTTGGCACCGCGATCCGGACTGGGCGGACTGTCTGGGCTATCGGGCAGCGGACTGTGTGACGCCGGCTGCTCTACGGGCAAATAGGGTATGCGAGTTGTCGCCAACCCCGCTGGCCATGTGTCCGCCGTGGAGGACACCGAAGACTTTTGTCTATTTCGATTCCTTCTATAAGGCTCGCCAACGTCAATGCCAAGGTCAGCGTCATCGTCAGCGCCACCGTCAGCGTCAGCTAAACGCTGTTGGCGCTTGGCCGATGGCGGCTCGCAGCCAAGTTCAGTATCCTGCAAGAAATAAAAATTAGTTGAATAACAGAAATAACAAAAATAGATGTAAATATATATAAAAAAAATTATTAAACT